GGTCTTTTCAGGAGATCGAGGAAGGGCAATCGGCAGTCTTTTCCTTCCTCTGTCGTAGACTGGATATCAGGGAAGATCAAGTTCAGATTCTCGGTGAAATCCCCACTCCTGTTCGACTAATGATAACAAATGTGGTTTCAACCTACCCTATCCACAATTGGGGTCGAAAGCCAGTGCCTCCAATCCTTGTAATACTGTCTCAGCAATCAGGCCGGACAACGGTGACCCCAGTGGTGTCCCTTTTACTTGTTCGTACACGGTTCCATTGAAGGCGAAAAGGGTGTTCAAGCAGCACTTCAGGAATGCCTCGTTGTATCGCCCCTATAACAGTATTTGTGTATGTTCAACTGCGAGATGTTGCGGTATCCAGGTTAAAAGTGGCTTTACATCGAAAAGTACCATCACATTTCATCATTTGATAGTCGAATACGCTGCAGCTTTTGTGTGAATTGTGCCGCTAAGTGAACGGCCATTGTAGAGCTCTGAGTCAGAAACTTGAGACGTTGAAACAGCCACTTGGCTAGGACAAACGTTAAGATGCCTCATAGGGCAACGATCGGTCTTAGGGGGGTTCCTGGTTTGTGGACCTTGGGGAGGCCATGCAATTTCGCGAGCGTTGCATCCTTTGGTTTCACTTTTTGCCAATTATTCTGTTTTATTGCTTTTGACTTCCAAAGACTTCTCAGTTGCTTGCTAATGCTGCTTACTAGCATCGTCACCGTTTAAAAGTGTTTTGACTTTGTTCACATTTTTCAGGGCACTGCAGACCACATTATATCCGGAGGCCGCGCAAAAGTAAGTATACAACCTCTCGTTAAAACAACTAACCGAGGTTCGAACAAAATTCCTGCATTGTGGATACGGAATTAAAACGACCTACGCTGATCTGGTCACCTTTCTTGTCTCCTTCGAATCAGCGCTACGCCAAATTGGCTTCATAGACGAGACTAAGGACCTCCGTCGACACCAGGTCACCTTTCTGTTCATGTTGCACCGAGGAACAAAAGGCCCTCAAGAGTTAAATTCAGGCGGCAAGCAATATGGTTATGTTACCTACCGACAAAGGCCGGTCAGTTTTTGTGCTCGATAAATTTGACTACTAAAACAAAATCCGAAAGCTCCTCAATGATCGAGAGTCATACAGAGTCAGCGACGCTGCCGACCTAAAGCCACTACTGGCACATGTGAGCAGAACACTGGGTCGTTTAGAAAAAGAAATGGTCATTAGCAGTAAGGGCTGTTACATGGCGGAGGCCACCGAAGTAGCTATGGCACGATTTTACGGGCTCTCAGAGGTAAACAAGTCAGACGTGCCCCTACGGCCAATTGTCTCCCTTCGAGGCACGCCTATATACGGGCCGGCAAAACTGTTATACCAGAAGCTGAAGTTTCTCATGTCAACTCCATAGTACAAATCCCCGACGAAATAAAAAGAGGCACAATTGAGTCAGAGGAAAGGATGGTGTCATTGGATGTTATCTCACTCTGCATGCTCTTCCTGTCGAAACCATCCGGGACTTTCTACGTCAGAATTACAATGAGAAATAAGGTTAGCATACAGCTCAGGATCTCATAAAACTCATGGAGCATCGCCTCCAGACCTTCTTCATCTTCGGAGGGATCACATATGAGGAAATCAAGGGTACCTCAATCTCTGGGCTCATTGCCGATGTGTTTTTACAAAAACTCTAGAGGCGATTGTTCGAAGAGTACGAACCCAAACTTTGGCGTGTTACTTTGAGGTCAATTTCGTTGTCATCAACCAGAGTAGATTCAACTACTACAAAGAGCGATCAAACTCGACTTCTTCTGGTCAGCAGTTCACAATGGAAGACGTGGTGGGCAGACAGCCGTCCCTGGACGTTCTCGTCTGCCACCAATCGTGAACCGACAAACACGTCGCAAATTTTTAGTTGCAATAGCAACCACCTGCTGCAACACAAGCGAAGTTGTAAGCGCACGCTATACCGATGGAGAGAAACCCAGAGGCACGCCAGCCACCAAACCATATGGGATGAAGCTACTGTGGCAACATTTCGGAGCTAACAGCTATCCACGAGCGTTCAATGAACGGAATTGGGTGCCTCGAAGACGCAGACAGAGAGCGTTGTCCACCAAAGTCGTGGGGGAGGATCTCGTAGACGAAAGGGGTCTCAGGAATCGTGCCTAGATTCCTCGCGCCTCTCGGAATAGTTGCCCACAGACCTGCCTCCACAATCCGGAACCAAGTAATTCGGCTGAAAGACCCTATCCCGAAGCAGGAGATATCAGGCTTTGTCTGCCGACTTCAGTGCGGTTACTGGATGTGCAACTATGTTGAAGAAACCGGCCGACAGCTATAAACGCGAATTTATGAGCGGCAGCTGGCTATAAACAATAGGACCCAAAGTCGGAAGCTGCAACCCATGCTGCATAGATGGGGTACGATTTCAATATTGACACCGTTTAAATTGTGGGCCAATGTGGCGATCATACATTAAGGCAGGTTAAAGGAGCTGGATGCTGAACGACTGTTCAGTAATCTGCTACATAAATTTGCCTTACGAGATTACGAGCGCACGCGGGGACGAAACAAACACTAGCGCTCCGGTGACAGACATGCTCGATGAGGAGGCTGACACAAGCGACAGCGAGATCCAAGGCACACACACAACGACTCAGCCGAGAACGGCATGATACGCAGAGGGAAGAAGAGAGGCATATAGCGAGAACCATGAGCCAGAGAAGAGACAACTACCGAAACGTCAGATACAAAATAAACCTCTGCCGGTGAACGCTCTTTCCTCTTCTGATTTACCACCCGGGTCACGCATTTTCACTACTATTACTGTAGTCATCCTTGTTTAGAAACATTGTCAACCGTCCTTTGTCGGCTGGAGATATGACATTGTTTTGACGACGAGTATATTCGGTGAGCACCCTTCAACCTTTTGCAATTCGGCCCTCATGACACATAGATATCTCGAAGGATGTTCAAATGGAGCATCGTTGGACAGCGAATGCAGCCGACATAAATGCTTCTGGGGGCATCAGATACTACATCTAATGGATAACAGCAAGAACTGCCTGATCACATTTCTATTTCGCTCCAATTCACGTCGCTGCGACAACAGGTAGTGGCAACGACAAAACATTTCTAAATAAAATCCCCACATTTAATCCCACAATTAGATCACATCGATGAATACTATTTCTATGCTGAATTTTTACCCCCCACATCGCCGCAAGCTCATGACCAGGTGGGACACGGTGCTGATGGAATAATCGAATGACACGTATATACGAACACCAGCAA